TTAAGCAATTAGAAAACAGTCTGGGTATACTAATCATTACGTTAAGCAATTAGAAAACAGTCTGGGTACACTAATCATTATGTTAAGCAATTAGAAAACAGTCTGGGTACACTAAGCAATTAGAAAACAGTCTGGGTTTACTAATCATTAAGTTAAGCAATTATAAAACATTTTCTAGTTCCATGCAAGCACGGTAATAGCACTTTAGAAGATCAATTTAGATATAATTACAGTGGCATCACTTCATATTTTAAAAAGTTATAAGTGACTTTGTTTAGTTGTATCAGAAAAACAAACATTTATTACACTGGAGTACTGATCAAATTTTTTGTTTTTTATTAACTCTAGACCTGATCTCATTGACTGGAGATCACTAAAAACAAATTCTCCTCGTAAGAACCTGGAACTGGCATTTACAATAATGGAGAGGGAGTATGGAGTAACGAGACTTCTAGATCCAGAAGGTTGGTTGATGTAATGCTTCTCATTAAATGTGTCCATTAGAAAATGTCACTGAATAATGTTTATTCATGTAGAAGGACCTGTTTATTAATTTACTAACAAGAAAGAGTAAGAGAAAATGTTAATATAATGGAAAAAGTATAACATTTTATGTTTTTTTATATCTCTACAAAGATTTAAGACAACCTTTTTTTTTTACTCTTGTCAATTGATAAAATTTAATTAGTATTGACATAATAGAATCCTAGTGACCTTGTAGCTATCAGTTTTAAAACAAAGTTATTAATTAAACAAATGGAAAGCACACTCTGGAAATTCTAGCTCTGTGTGGTACGAGTTCCATTTCTTAAGATTAAAGTCTTTCAATATTCAGTAGTTTTACCTTATGCTGTGAATTTACTAGCTCTTTATGACAAGAAAAAATTTTATATTACACAAAATGGTAGTCCAAATTACAAGCTTTGCATAGGAGTACTGGTAAGGGGGGAGACTTGCTGGGACTAAAGCTACTCCAGAATATGTCTTAGCTTTTCCTGTAGCTCTCGACGATATGTACTTACTGTTAAAGCTGATTTACTTCCTAAATACTATAGTATGTGTACCTACAAGGTTTAGAGCATAGCCTTCACCAGGAAGAGGATATCACTACCCGTGGTACTATAGTATGTGTGCCTACAAGGTTTAGAGCATAGCCTTCACCAGGAAGAGGATATCACTACCCGTGGTGCTATAGTATGTGTGCCTACAAGGTTTAGAGCCTAGCCTTCACCAGGAAGAGGATATCATTACCCGTGGTACTATAGTATGTGTGCCTACAAAGTTTAGAGCATAGCCTTCACCAGAAGAGGATATCACTACCCATGGTACTATAGTATGTGTGCCTACAAGGTTTAGAGCATAGCCTTCACCAGGAAGAGGATATCACTACCCATGGTACTATAGTATGTGTGCCTACAAGGTTTAGAGCATAGCCTTCACCAGGAAGAGGATATCACTACCCGTGGTACTATAGTATGTGTGCCTACAAGGTTTAGAGCATAGCTTTCACCAGGAAGAGGATATCACTACCCGTGGTACTATAGTATGTGTGCCAACAAGGTTTAGAGCATAGCCTTCACTAGGAAGAGGATATCACTACCCATGGCTTTGCACGAAGTAAACTTAACAAATATTGATATTGATTTCTCCAAGTTTTACAGAATGAAATGTTGTATCTGTTTGCATGCTACATTTTTATTTATATTTTTCATCCAGAAAACCGATTACAACAATAACACTTAATTGGAAAGTGTTTTTAACACATTTTTATTTCTAGAAATAGATGAATATTTACTAAATGGAAATATAATAAAACATGGGAGAAATGCCAGAACTTCACATAACCATTTCAGAAAGTTTGATGGTGTTTCTAAAGTAGATGCAACTTTTTTATATCTTAAATTCTGCTTTTATTATGCTTCTAAATAATCTTATTTTAACATTTTTTCTGGAAATGATTACAGCTTTACTAAAGTATCTTTTATCCTTCAGATGTTGATACTCCTGAGCCAGATGAGAAATCCCTCATCACATACATCTCTTCCCTCTATGATGTGTTTTCTGAAATTCCAACCCATCACCCACTTGCTGATGATGTATGTTTTTTAATTACATTACTTCTTGTATATTTTGTCATGTATTGATAAAATGTTTACATACCGGAATCAATTTGAATTATTAAATTGTTGATTTCTCAGTTTAACAGTATTTACTCATTTTGACCAATCAACTTACTGATGCAATTGCAGGATTAGTTGAAAGGTTGTTAGAATTAAAAAAAAATTAATCCATCTTAAATACATAATGCTGAGAATTAACAATTGGTTATTCATTGTTTCACAGGAAAAGCAGAGAAAACTGGAGGAATACATAGAACTGGCTAGCATATTACACCTTTGGATGCAGGAAATGATAATGAAGCTACAAGATCGAACCTTTAAAAATACTCTGGTAGAGCTGAAAGTAAGTATATGAAACAGAACCTTCTCCGTTTCTCCTTCAACCATATTTAGAACAATTGATTAGTTCAGAAAAAATGTTTGTTTTTTAAAAAAGAAAGTAATCTTTTTGAATTGTTGTTTTGTGATACCATTGTTTGATATAACTAAATATACAAAATAACTGTATATTTTTCAGTGATTCCCAGGTAATTATAGTGTTGGATTAAATCCAGGACTATTTACTATGATTGTATGGTTAATGTAGTTAGAACTATTAATAACTGTACTTGCCTGATCCATAGGCTCTACTAGCAGAATGTAATAGATTCAGAACAGAAGATATTCCACCAAAACTTCATGATAAACAGAAAATCTCCAGTCTACATAGAGAGCTGCAGGTAAAGAGTACTTCTGATTAATTAACATTATTGAATAAAATGATCAATCTAATACATGTGACTCAGGTAGTTATCATGATCAAACCCTTATAGTAATTCATTTCAGACCACTTCAAGTTGCTAAGTTCAGTAACGTGGTCAGCACACCACAAGTAGTTCAGTTTGTTAACATGGTCAGCACACCACAACTAGTTCAGTTTGCTAACATAATCAGCACACCACAAGTAGTTTGGTTTGTTAACATAGTCAGCACACCACAAGTAGTTCAGTTTGTTAACATGGTCAGCATACCACAAGTAGTTCAGTTTGTAAACATGGTCAGCATACCACAACTAGTTCAGTTTGTTAACATGGTCAGCATACCACAAGTAGTTTGGTTTGCTAACATAATCAGCACACCACAAGTAGTTTGGTTTGTTAACATGGTCAGCATACCACAAGTAGTTCAGTTTGTTAACATGGTCAGCATACCACAACTAGTTCAGTTTGTTAACATGGTCAGCATACCACAAGTAGTTCAGTTTGTTAACATGGTCAGCACACCACAAGTAGTTTGGTTTGTTAACATGGTCAGCATACCACAAGTAGTTCAGTTTGTTAACATGGTCAGCACACCACAAGTAGTTCAGTTTGTTAACATGGTCAGCATACCACAAGTAGTTTGGTTTGGTAACATGGTCAGCATACCACAAGTAGTTCAGTTTGTTAACGTAATCAGCACACCACAAGTAGTTCAGTTTGTTAACATGGTCAGCATACCACAAGTAGATCAGTTTGTAAAGATGGTCAGCATACCACAACTAGTTCAGTTTGTTAACGTAATCAGCACACCACAAGTAGTTCGGTTCGGTAACATGGGCAGCACACTGCAAGTAGTTCAGTTTGCTAACATGGTCAGCATACCACAAGTAGTTCAGTTTGTTAACATAATCAGCACACCACAACTAGTTCAGTTTGTTAACATGGTCAGCACACCACAACTAGTTCAGTTTGTTAACATGGTCAGCATAACACAAGTAGTTTGGTTTGGTAACATGGTCAGCATACCACAAGTAGTTCAGTTTGTAAACATGGTCAGCATACCACAAGTAGTTCAGTTTGCTAACATGGGTCAGCACACCACAACTAGTTCAGTTTGTTAATGTAATCAGCACACCACAAGTAGTTTGGTTTGTTAACGTAATCAGCACACCACAAGTAGTTTGGTTTGTTAACATAATCAGCACACCACAAGTAGTTCAGTTTGTTAACATGGTCAGCACACCACAAGTAGTTCAGTTTGTTAACATGGTCAGCACACCACAAGTAGTTTGGTTTGTTAACATAATCAGCACACCACAAGTAGTTCAGTTTGTTAACATGGTCAGCACACCACAAGTAGTTCAGTTTGTTAACATGGTCAGCACACCACAAGTAGTTTGGTTCGGTAACATGGGCAGCACACCACAAGTAGTTCAGTTTGTTAACATAATCAGCACACTACAAGTAGTTTGGTTCGGTAACATGGGCAGCACACCACAAGTAGTTCGGTTCGGTAACATGGGCAGCACAATGCAAGTAGCTCCCTTTACCCAATGATGACCCAATACTATGATTCAAAATATTGTAATCATTAAAATCAGACCTTGCCTGCTATAAAAGTTGCTGTTATTGTTTTTTTTAGTTAACCTTTTATTATGTTCAATAATTTCCTCACTAAACAGTAATCAAAGTTTATCAGCCGAGATTTTCTAAACAGCTAGTACTTGAAAGTTATTTATACATTTTTAATAGAATCTTAAGAAGTACTGGTTTTACATCTAGTTTTAAGACTTTTTTCCTTCCTTACAGCAACTCTTCCAAGGAGAAAGTTCTTTACATATAGAACCAGAGTTGAAAATTAACACAATTGAGAGTAATTGGAATCAACTTATGATAGCACTTCAAGACAAAGACCAGGCAATTCATGATGAAATTAGCAGGTACATTTTGTAATCTTTACTGAATGTAAAACAGGTTATGTCAAATACATGTTTTATAACAGGTATTAAATATAAAACAGGTTATGTCAAATACATGTTTTATAACAGGTATAAAATATAAAACAGGTTATGTCAAATACATGTTTAATAACAGGTATTAAATATAAAACAGGTTATGTCAAGTACACATTTTATAACAGGTACTAAATATAAAACAAGTTATAGTAGGTATATGTTTAGTAACAGGTACTAGATATAAAACAAGTTATAGTAGGTATATGTTTAGTAACAGGTACTAGATATAAAACAAGTTATAGTAGTTATATGTTTAGTAACAGCTACTAGATATAAAACAAGTTATAGTAGGTATATGTTTAGTAACAGCTACTAGATATAAAACAAGTTATAGAAGGTATATGTTTAGTAACAGGTACTAAGTATAAAACAAGTTATAGTAGGTATATGTTTAGTAAAAGGTACTAAATATAAAACAAGTTATAGTA